ATTTTTTGCTCCAGTTCACATCGCAGCGTGCAGTTCCAGAGCAGGTGAAAAAAACTGCAGCAGGCCCTATTTTACCTGCTCTGGATCTGCAAAGGCGTGCAAATGCCTGGAACGCACTGAAAGCTCATTTTAAGCTGAATACTGAAAAATGGCCTGGATGGGAAGGGGGTTTAACACCGCGGATGTCAACTGGTTAAAAAAACGCATCTAAAAGACTAGCATGCGTGTGCAGAAACCTGACCGGATCTGCTCTGCATTTGGTTTGAACAAGGCCTTATGTCACTTCTAGCTGCACATGCTGTGACCCAAGGATTTGTTTTTGTTTGAAATCCTCTAGGTGCCCAGGATCTGCCCTCCCACACAACTTTTAGAAAAGGTTTCGATGTGACACAAAATGTCAGTGCTGAAGAAGGATGGTTTGCAGATCACACAGGCCCTTCTTTGTGTAGGACTCCCTGTCTATATGCAGAGGTACACTGCTCACATACATGGGGGCCACTAGAGGGAGAATCTACAAGTCTAACATACTCTCTGAAATATATACTATAGGGGCTTTTTGGGGATGGATGGCTTTACACTGGTAAGGGACACCTTTTTACAGTCAATCTGCAAATAGGATCATAAGAAAGAATGTATAGCAGGCTCTTGGAATACCTGAACGATGCCTGCATCCAGAGAGCGAGCGGGGCCGACTAGCAAGATACTGAAGCTTGGCCCAGCGGGGATTCCTCCATCCTCACAGTGTAGCGTAGATGGAGGAATCTGTATCACTTTTTCCATCTGGCCATAGAAAGTCTGCAGATAATCTATAGGTGTATGGCTAGCTTTTGACAAACTCCAGCTGTGGTGAAACTACAAATCACATTGTGAATCTGCCCCTGGGCATCATGTCTGTAGCTGGCAGGAGTCTTGCAAAGGCTAATGGGATTTGTAGTTGCACCGCAGCTGGAGTTTACATTCCTTGTGCCCTAAATCTGAGTATAGTTACTTTTTTTAAAGGAGAAGTTCACTTTGAATGAATGTCAGTATCCCTCCACCCCTGAGTGCAGCCTTATGCGGACCATGAAGGAGATGCTTTTGAAGGAATGACCTTGCAGAGTTGAAGCATTCTGCCCCTTTCATTCAAACTCCTAAACTTAACTAATCGATGGGTAGCAAAACAAGGGGCTTTCAATGTACTTGGAGCAACCACAAAACACTATTATAAAGCTACAACAGTACTTTTTGTTTTTACAAATGAAAAGTATTTAATATAAAAATATTTACGCAAAGGTTCTGTGAGGGAAGTGGTCGCCTCTCCCACAAGTATGGGAATGACTGGGAGTAATAATCTCTTTTACAACAGAGATATTCCAATCCATCATAAATAGGTGCAGGTGATTGCACTGTGACTGGTGCTATGGTGGGTTTGATGTTCAATGCGTTTCACCTTGATGGCTTCTTTAGAAAAGCAGAGTGACGCGTTTTGATGGGGATGCACGTGTCTAGACCGAGGCATTAAGACATCAGAAAGAGCTCCTTAGTCGCTGGTGCCCTGGATCTTGCTCCCTCCTGTGGTCTGCCACCCCCATTAGGGTGATGCCTGCTCCTCTGCCCGACTCTTCTCACCATGCTTATGTGGCTTTGCTGTGAACATCTCTACTCTCCTGAAGAAGCCACCATCAAGGTGAAATGCGTTGAGAATCAAACCCACCGTAGCACCAGTCACCGTGCAATCAACTGAACCTATTTCAAAACAAAAAAAAACTATTTACTTGCACGTGATTGGGTGATGGAAGTCCGCAGAGCTTCACCTCATTCACTAAGCTAGGGGAATATTTCCTTGCAAGCAGCCTATGTGTCCCGGCACTCTGCACACTGCTATTGCTCTTTGTGGTACCCGGGTGAATAAGCCTGATTATTTGCACAGGAAAGGGTCATTATACCATGTTTATTTTTTGACTTCCTCTCTAAGCCCGGCTGTGTCCACTCTTCCACGTCCCAGGGCTGGAATGTTAAAAATCAAATTCCAGTGGGGAGGTGACTTGAAGCAGGTTATTCTGCTCTCCTCTTTTAGCGCTGGATTTGGACACACAGGCTTCCAGTGTCCAGAGGTAAGGGAAAGAGAGCCATGTATCCCAGGCTGCCATGTCTTCTGCTTTGCGTCCTGTTCGGACTTACCGGAGGAAGCAGAAAAATGCCAAAGCTGGCAGACAGGAAGTTGTGTGCCGATGAAGAGTGCAGCCGTAAGTACTGAGCCTACGCAATGATTCGAGCGAATTACTGAATCAGTTTGCACTATTAAGCCATTCTTTTACACTTTGTAACGAGTGGAAATTGGGGATGCGCTGATACCGGTTTCTCGGTATCGGATACGAGTACCTATCATTTTTGTTTTGGGGACTTACAGATACCAGGAGTCTCATTATTAGCCTCAGTGTAATGACTCGCCCCGCTGGCTTCCCGATTAGCAGTGAAGCCATCTCCATGCTCCCTCATCACCAGGTGACGAGGAAGCATGAAGCCGGCTTTCTGGCCAATCGCGGGGGCTGGGCGTTGAGTCATTACCCACCCCCTGGCTTCCTGATTGGCCGTGAAGCCAGCTCCCTGGTGACGAGGGAGTATGGAGACGGCTTCCCAGCCAATTAGCAATGTAATGACTCGCTGCCCGGCTTCCTTATACCAGAAGTTCCGGTATCGGACTAGGCACCGGAGCATTTGGGTGAGTGCTTGCCCAAATACTCGGTATCGGCACTGATACTAGTATCGGTATTGGTGCATCCCTAGTAGAAATCTAGTGCGGCACAGTATTCATAGGTTATCTCTGTATACTTAATTATACATACGTCCGTGTATTTTGGTATATCTATCCTCTTATTTTACTTCAAGTGTATTTCCACTTTTGCAGTCACATTTAAGAACCCCCCTTTACACGTTTGTGTGTTCCCATTCACTCAGCATACCTAAAAATAAGGAAAAGAACATGCCACACCTTTCTAATTGTTTCTTTGGCGCGGGCGTATACACAGAACCCTAGAGGCAGCTTCTATTGTTTAGAATAGCTTCCAATTAGGGGGCAGACTGAGGAACAGTTTTTTAAAAGTGCATTAACATGCAATGTGCCACTCAAGCCTTGAAATCTTTAAAGAACAACTCCGGGGAGAACAAAAATGATCCCTTGCAGAGGGGCTACCCTGCACTGCAAGGGTTATTTGCTTGTTTTGGTTAAGGGTCTAAAAAAAAAAAAAAAAATTACTCACCCGGTCCTCGGTCCTGCCTGGTTGTTACACCAGTCCCCAGCCTCCTACCCCCCCTGGGCTCCAGCGGTCTAATGACCCGTCAGATCTATGCATACTATTAGATGAGAAGATGCAGAGGGACATTCCACTGCTGGAGCGCAGGGGGAGAGAGGCGATCGGTCTCTGCGAAAGAATCGAACAAGCGGTTAACCCTTGCAGTGCCGACGTAGCCCCACCCCAAGGGTTCATTTTATTCTGCCCAGAGTGTTTCCTTAACCCTTTGTTAGGACAGAGTGTGGGAAACCCAGTTTACAAATGATAGTGACTACAGAGAAACAGTGCACAACAAGGTATGGGAAGTCCGTAATGGGGAGAAGATCAGCTGCAGGAAGACCATTGGGAATACTGGTGACTACTCATTTGCCCTTTGACTGACTTTCTTAAGCACAAAGTGCCGGGACGTACACTGTACGTCTCCCGTCACGAAGGGGTTAAACTGGCAGAGGGAGCCGTCCTTGTTACATCCTCTCTGCAAACTTCAAAAGTGTGCCGTAATATCAGAAGATGATATCACCAGTGAATCTATACTACTACTAGGGATGCACTGATACCGGTTTTTCCGTATCGAGTGCGAGTACCGCTATTTTTTTCCCTCGCGGATACCGAATACCGAAAGTCCCATTAATGAGGCCGGCCGACGTGTAATGACTCGCCGCCTGGCTTTCTGATTAGCAGTGGAGCCATCTCCATGCTCCCTCATCACCAGGTGAATAGGAAGCATGGAGTCGGCTTTCTGGCCAATCAGGATGCTAGAGTGGGAGGTGGGTAATGACTCGCCGCCTCGCTTCCTGATTGGCCAACTTCCCGATCAATCAGGAAGCCGGGTGGCGAGTAATACGAGTTGACGAGGGAGCATGGAGCCAGCTTTCTGGCCAATCAGGAAGCTGGGGGGCAGGGTCTGGCCAATCGGGAAGCGAGTCATTACCTGCCCCCCATCTTCCTGATTGGCGGGGAAGCCAGCTCCATGCTCTCTCGTCTTTAGGTACTGGTGATGAGGGAGCATGAAGCCTTTTTCCTGGCCAATAAGGAAGCCGGGCAGCATGTAATGGCTCGCCGCCCGGCTTCCTGATACCGGAAGTTCTGGTATTGGGATAGGCATTGGGAGCATTTGGGCGAGTACGAGTACTCAGCCAAATACTCACTATCTGCACCGATATTAGTATCAGTGCATCCCTACTAAACTAGTAGTGCATCCGTTACAAAAACTAGAGGCCATAACCTAAAATTGGTGGAAAAAAAATTCCAGCACAAGGTGCGAAGGGGGTTCTTCACAGTAAGATCAGTTAGGGTCTGGAACTCACTGCCACAGGCGGTGATTTCAGCAAATAATGTGGAATTGTTCAAGAAACTTTTGGACGATTTCTTAAGGGACCGTAATATACAGGGGTACGGGTACTCCTAGAATGAGATCCTAATAGGTTGGACTTGATGGACTAATGTCTTTATTCAACCTCAAATACTATGTAACTATGTAACTACCTTTACATACGACATAAATACATTGTAAAAACATAACAGCGTTATATCAATTACAAAATTGCATGTTAAAGTGCTTCTGCGTGTTCTAATGGTCGTCTCAATGCTTAAACATTAACATGAAATACAACAAATAGCCCAGTGAGTCCTGGTATGCGCTAAAGTACCATTCAGTACAGTTCATTAATCAGAGATTTCCGCCATCATTCCTATGTGTATCTTCTATAAACACACCTGTCACGTACCTGGTAGAGAGACTGAGTGTTTGAGGAGGCTTCTCTTGCACCTCGTGACTTGTGGCCTTTGAGGATGGTGACAAAGGCCAGGCAGACACTGAGTGGCACGAGTGCTCAGGGAAATCCAGAAATCGAGGTCACAGCAAGCCGAGGTCGAAGCCAGGAGGTCAGATGGTCAGAAAACAGGTCAAAGTTCAGGTAACGGTGATATTCAGGGCAAGGCAGGAAACAGGAGCTGATAAGACAATCCAGCAACTACTGAGCATGTGAGCCGAGTTTAAATAAGGAAGTGGGCTAATCAACCCCGTCACTTCCTGTGCGCCATTTGGCGCGCTTTTCCGCACCATAGACGCGTCACTTCTGGTGCGCCATACGGCACGTATTTCTGTGAGGAAGATGTGCTATGCGCATGCGTGAGCGCGTCCTTGGCCCATGCGTGGAGCGGGTCCTTTGCACATGCCAATCAAGGTCTCACCACAGCAGGTCCCTCTTTGCCTCAAGGTTGGCTGGGATTGCACCTTCGGATGCTGATAACCCCTCCAATCAAACTGCTATTGCTCCCGGTCCACTCATGCAGGAAGTAAATAAGAAAAGGGGGATAGCTCACGTGGGGAAGGAAAGGGGGGAACGGTGTTGTATAAAAAGAGTGCCACACCCCTGATTTAAATTGAAGGAAAAGATGTTTTGGAGAAATGGGTTTTTTTAGGCACTGGAAACGATAATTCATGAGGAACGTTTATTTATATTAAAAATATATTAATTTTATTAAATGCAAGATTAAAAAGAACTCATAATATAAAAGGAAAGGCAACCTAGGAGGAACACCTCAAATGTCCACCAGAGCCCTGAGTATTGACTGATTAAGATTACATTAGCATGATTCGTTCAATTGATTAATACAGAAAATTAATTTGTAGGTTGCACCTCCTACATTGTGGTTGACACTATTCAATCAATTAGTGCGTTACAACCACAATGTAGGAGGTGCGACCTACAAATGAATTTTCTGTATTAATCAATTGAACGAATCATGCTAATGTAATCTTAATCAGTCAATACTCAGTGCTTTGGTGGAGATTGGAGGTGTTCCTCCTAGGTTGCCTTTCCTTTTATATTATGAGTTCTTTTTAATCTTGCATTTAATAAAATTTATATTTTTTTAATATAAATAAACGTTACAATCTAGGACAACATAGCTGAACTGGAAAAATTCTCCATTTCGGATCACTTTCCAGTTCAGCTATGCTGTCCTAGATTGTTCACTTCTCCTGACGTCTCCACACTCTTCACCCTTTTGTGAATAACCCTGTTACTTTTACATTTTATATTTTGCATACTTTTAAATGGCACCATAACAAGAAAAAGGTTGATAAACACGGCCTTAGACTCTGGCCTTCACAGATAGAACACACCTACCACTGTGAGTTCTATGGACAGTCATTGTGTCTGCTTGTATTTCAGCTCGTGACCTTTTTTTCCCCCTTTGACAGATCCCATTTCTATGGCAGTAGCTTTGTCTGACTACATCCCCCCCGACTGCCGCTTCATCCCAATTAGGCGTGGACAAACGCTATATATCTACTCCAAGCTAAAGGGCCGAGGACGCCTCTTCTGGCTGGGCAGTGTGAGTATCATGACTCCGACACAACATATAACAATAAGTAGAGTGGTGTCTCACCTGTAGTTTATTATATAGGTGCAAGGAGATGAATATGGGGAGTATACAGCAAGACTGGGCTATTTTCCGAGCTCTATCGTACAGGAGGAACATTATCTGATGCAAGGAAAAGTGGAGGTCAAAACAAATGTGAGTTATATTGCTTATGAAATTGAGCAATGCCACAAAAATTACAAGAGGTTTTTAAACTTGGTGAACGGGGCAATTTTACAACAGATTAAAGCCTGGAGACACAACAGGAAGTGAGAGGAAATTTCTCCAAAGTGAAAGGAACTCCCCTCTTAGGGAGTTGTCACCATAACCAGTGCCGCCATTATAAGATTTCTCCTCACTTGTTTTGAAGATAACTGTAAACTTTTGGATTTACCTTAATTTTCAGTCCTGATGAGAGAGATAGTAATAATACCAGACAGGCATCCAGCGCTTCTCACCATCATCTCAAAGATGCCGAGAATAAGAGTGGACGATAGTTTTGGTAGGGAAATATTAGGTTTATGGGGGGGGGCTTTATCTTAGGGTATAAAATCAAATTTCTACACTATGCATATTAGATCTTAACGGGAACCTCACAGTGAAAGGTAGCGGCACCAGGCTCCCCAATGCCGAATATCAATATATCACTCTTTATTATGTAACTATAGGCAAATGGACCAAGAGACACATGCCTGTTTGTGTGCAAAACAGAAATGACATGTAAACAGACCACTCCTATGTTAGGAGACAATCATACATCCCCCCTACTGTGTGAAATGTATCCCAACCAAAGCAAACATCAGTCACACAGGGGCTATTGCAAAGTGCAATGGCCAATAGGAATCTAGCTGTGCATTCTTATGCCTTTTTTGTTTTTTTTATTATGACGACTGCAACTGTCAGAATACAAAAAAAAAAAAATCCTGCAGATAGCAAAGAAGCTATTGCTTCCTGTGCTATCTGCCATCATTTCAGGGGGGTGCTCTCTCCCAGCCCCCCTAACCCCCCCTCCGTGGATGGGGGGTGGATGGGGGGAGGGCACCTCCCTGAAATTGTTTCTTTCAGGTTGGGATCCCTGGTTTAGGTTTGCTGTAAGGTCAGTTGGGGGCCATCAGCAAAACAAGATGTAACACCAGGAAGTAATTGTGCTCTTCAGCTTAGGGAAATTACCTGAATGCTTTGTATGTCACGTGTTATTCTTTCCAGCAATGGGATTTCCTGTGTCAGTGATCTGACTTCCTGTGACACCATTTGCCATGAAGCTACTCAAGTGCTACGTGGCAGGCTGTGCCTGGAGTGCAGAGGACAAGGCCTTGTACCTGGAGTGTGCTTCTTTAGCTTCCCTTTATACCTAATGTAGCCATACACTATGTACGCTGTATTAAATACTGTCACTTTGTATTCAGTTTGGGTTTAGAATATTTTTGGTGTTCTTCTTCAGAAAAAAAATAAAAGAATTGACGCAAGGACATAAAATAGGAAAAACGTACAATGCTTCGTAATTTAAAGCTGAACTGCAGGTATAAATCATGTATTTTATTATTTATTACAAGTATCTATAGAGCGCCAACAGTTTTACGCAGCGCTTTATATACTGCACATAGACATCAGTCCCTGCCCTCAAGGAGCTTACAATCTAAGGTCCCTATCTCACATGCATACATACAGGGCCAACTTAGATAGGAGCCAATTAACCTACCAGCATGTCTTTGGAGTGTGGGAGGAAACCGGAGTACCCGGAAGAAACCCACGCAAGCACGGAAGAAACTCACGCAAGCACAGGGAGAACATGCAAACTCCTTGCAGATAGTGTCCTGCCCAGTATTTGAACCAGAGACCCTCAGTGCTGAAAGGCAGAAGTGCGAACCACTACACCACTGTGCTGCCCGATATAATAATTTGTGTGGCTGTTTTATTCATCCATTGACTGTTTCATATTGTTAGGATGTCAGTTAACTTACTAGCGCAAAATACTGGAAGAGGAACAAAATGTCCATGACATCAATCAAATTCAATGCTTTACCATGAGTATCATCATTGTAAAGGGTAATAGCTCACCTTCACCACATGATGGCACCAACACTACTAAAATAGAGAAGGAGGACTGCGTAGACTCAGCTGCTGGGCTGACCCTAAAGCTGGCTATATATATATATATATAGGTATATAGCGTCCAGGCATATATATATCTGATTGGATGCAGGCATTGTTCAGGTATTTTGAGAGCCAGCGGGGCAGACTAGCAAGATACTGAAGCTTGGCCCCAGGGGAGATTCCTCCATCCACACAATTTAGCGTAGATGGAGGAATCTGTTGCACTTTTTTCATCTGACCATAGAAAGTCTGCAGATCATCTATAGGTATATGGCCAGCTTTAGGTGGTAAATTGTGGAAATGGCCCTGGTGTGAATACGGCTAGAGCTACACAGGCAATATCTTGTCAGCTGAACTGAAATGCAAAGACTAGCAGCTGATTGCTTAATAAATGTAACAAATGCCCCCCTATGGTATGATCTACTCAAGTAGCATGTAGTGGCGACCAAACGGACACAACCGAAACACTGTGTGATCACAGAAGACTTATTTGCTTGTGTAGCTTACATATTGTTTAAAGTAGCAGTTAGCAATCCCATTAGGATATGAGTTAAAAAAAAAATCTGGATTTTTAAAATAATAATAATGATAATAATAACAAAATAAAATAATAATTAATAAATGAATTAATAAACACACAATAAATAATGAATTAATACATCATTAATAACATAAATAAAATAATATTAAAATAAAAACAATGATAATAAATTAGATAATAAAAAAAAAAATCCATCTCCTTGTAAAACATTCTTTAAAATTGAACATTGAATAAATCTTCCATTGCATGTCATGTAATAATCCCACCACAACTTGGACTGGAACCACCACAGTGTGACCATTCATTAAAAGGTAAATCAAAACCTTGGGTCATAGAAGGTGTCTGAAGAGGTAAACTTTGCTTCATGAAACGCATTACACAATTTACATACCTATGAATCAGAACTCCTCCATAAATAAACCCTAAGCAAGCTGGAAAATATATGTGGTGATTACAACACACAATTGTATAAATAGCGCTCCCATGTGCAGTAGAGAGGTCCATTTAAGTCTTTAATGTTTGGACTAGTTTTTATGTATTTTTATTTTCTGCTCTTATGGATGAGTGAACTGGATATCTGTTTTATTGGTTTTATAAATGAGGATATTTTTATGAGTACATACTTTTGAGTCAATCACAGGGGTAGGCAACACTGGCTTTCACCCTGTTGTTGACCTATAAGTTCCACAATGCATTGTAAGACTCTGATAGCCACAGACATGATTCTCAGAGACAGAGGCATTTGTAGTTTCACCACAGCCAAATATATATATATATATATTCTATTGTATGTGCACATACATATATTTCTTTTTCTCATATGCAAAGTGTCCTTAAATTACGAGACCCACTTATTTTTTTTGTGTGGTATTCAATATGAATATACCTCATTGAGAGATTCCTAAGGCCTCTATAAGTTAGGCGGTGTCCGTTGAGAGCAGCAGGGGACCTGAGAGCAGATCACCTGCTGATCAGAGCAGTATGGAATGGATGTCACTCTTGGTTTTTTTTTTTCTCCAAAACTGAACAAACTGGACCCATGTTCGGTTTATGAGGAGTCGGATGTATAGTAAGAAGTGATGACATCATGCGCTGCTACCTGCCGGCAGCCATCTTGGTGATGGACGCCGTCAGAGAGAGAAGGGGACATTCACCCGGCGGGATAAGGTATGCCGACGGATCCCCTCCGGATATACTGAGCTTGATGAAGGGGACCCTGCGTGGCCCTGAAACGTTGCTCTATCTGTAACAATAAAGACGTTCATTTGGACACATTCCTATGGTGTGCTGGTGACATCTTGTTCTTCTGATCTGTACGGTGCCATCCATAGTCACTTCAGCACCTATCCTCTAAGGGACTTTCGGTAAGGAGTGCGACAGGATACCTACTGGATGTATAGTAAGAGGACATGCAGCCGATTACACCCGATTACCTCTGATTCATCCCATTCAGGTCCATCAAAACAGAACTCTGTTCCATTATTTTCTTCAGATCTAGATGGACTTGGATGGAGGTAATTGGATGTAAACGGATGCAGGTCCATTTGGAGGGGTCTCATTTATATCTGTGTGTATATTAAGGTTTCCCATTTCCTGTGTCACATCTCTGCTAGTGGAATGTTCACTGTCAATGAACCAATCTGGGGAGGATATCTGCAATGATTAACACACTCAAAGGCCCCTTTCCAGCCTTTTCTGTGATGGTGAAGTCTGGATGAGTAGGAGTATTAAGTAATTAATGACCCCTGTAGTAACTACAAGTTCTCATCACACAGAATGTCTGTATGACCCCCATAGAGGATACAAGAGGGTGTAAAAGTGGGATACACAGCAAATGGCCGTGTGAACGCACAGCAGACGCTGTCATCTCTGACCCGCACAGTTTCAGGTGACCACACATAACTTTGTACATCACTAGTCACCTGCTTGAATGAGCTGCAATGGGCCCCTTGCTGCTTTTGATGATGATGGCAGTTTTAGTGGCAGTACTAGATCTGAGGAACACAATGGTCATAATCACTGTGATTGCCGGAGGTTTTCAAACTCTCACTGTAAAGGAAATGGCAGGTCCGTTTATACGAAGGTGCTAATGTGGTCCTTTATTATAAAGTCATTACAAGGGTATAATCTGGGCACTTGACACCCTAATGCCAACAAGGTCTTCATCATTGTTATAGCACCCAGTCTATCTGCGACACAGCTCTTCAAAAAGTCAGTAGTACAAATGGATGGAGTGTGTGGATGGAGAACTTCTCCCTTGAAGGGGGAGCAACTCTGAGCCTTTGCCCCAGGTGACAGAATGTCTAGCATCCCCACTGCTTGGCTGAATCGCGGGGTTCTTCTCCCTGCGGGCTGCTGCTATTTTATTTTTAATTTGGCATGACTCTGTCCATGCAGCCATGTCATCCATTCACAGGTCCTTTCACAGGATCTGTGACTGTGGAAACTACAAGTCCCATTAGATATCATGGCAGAGGGTCTTTTCAATGGAAAACAAGTGTGGTGGCATCACTGTAGTCCATTAATTCTCCCTCCCGTCCATGTTACTCAATTTCTGGAGTGCAATGCAAAAAAATTGCTTTGCACTCCAGAAATGGCTAAATTTCCCAGGGTGGGTGACAACCATGAAGCTTGCATGCATAATAAATTAAAATAAATAAGAAAGCAATACAAAAAATCATATTCATAATGATAAATAAGCGGTGGAGTGTTCATTATTTTACCAATCATGAATAGCAGGAGTGATATGAGGATGAGTTAAAGCTTCACTCCTGGTACAAAAAATGGCATCTAAATACAGTATATTTCTTAATAGCCACAAATAATATAAATCCACTTTAGTGCAACAAATGCTTTTACAGACCAAGATATTCTCTTGTAAAAGTAGCAGAGCAGTGGGAGGTGCCCAGCAGGCTCCACACACTGCAGGTATGATTGCAGGGGGGCAGAGACAAGACCAGTCACCCTGCACAGGGCGGGAGAGCAGCAGTGAATTGGGGGAATGAGGAAACCTTCCACAATGAATTACTGCACAGATCTGGAGGAAATACACAAAGCTCACCAAGATTCAAATAAGAATACACATGACTCTTGTATGAGGACAATATTTGGTTATCCCGGAGTTCAGCTTTACGAGAGACAGATCATGAATGTATTCTGGGAAGTTGTAACCCTTGAAGAGTCTGTTGGTAACTAAAGCTGGTAGTGCTAGAGTATCAGGAGGTCGTCTCACCATCCACACCAGATCTTCTGACAGTTTGGAGAGCTACCATGGCATGTATAGGTTAAACTTTATAAGTGTAGAATGGAGCTCACCTTATCTATCCACCGGCATGATGTGAGAGTTTAGGAGGATAGCCAAGCCAGATGCAGGTTTCTGCACACTGCTATTTCCTGGTGAGGGTCATCACAGGGAAATTCCAAAATGCCCACAAGACTTGTCTGTGTAAACCTGGGGGAACAGCCTTCGCCCAAAACACAGAACGTGGCTGTAAATTAAAATTTTTAATGCACAATTTACATTCACAATCGTAACACACTAGAGAGTTATGGGAAGGAGCACATTTGCCACCTGGGACTAGGGTTGCCACCCTTTCTTCAAGTGAAAACCGAACACTCTAGTGACGCGCTGACATTTTCTTGGAGGAGAATGAGTCGCGGCTTATTTATATGTAAATAGCGCCACCCATTTATATGTAACTATCACAATTGACACTATTT